CTCTCAAGATAACCACTAGATGAGGCAGAAACAGACGAATTCATTCCGTTCTACAGATATTAGATACCAGTGACTTAATAGTTATTATTAAGTATTCTGTAGTTGTTGTTTGAATGTATGGAACTTGCTGGATTTCCTCAGATATGGTTTTTGTTACAATCTCAGTGGAAAGAGAGCCAATTAAATACTGTATTCAGCTCAATTGGTAAAGTCATTCGTTGAAGAGGGAGAGGAGGCGAGGGGTGCAAAGTCAAGGAACAGTTTTATTTTCTCGCAATAAATTCCATGTTCGGTTTTCTTGGAACCTGGGCATTTCGGATATTGTGTTGTTTCTTCTGTGCCATACAGGTTGTTATGGTGGAACACGTTTATTGGTCAACGTTTCGACAATCGTCGTCTTCAGGACCTGAAACTGGTTCGAAGTCCTAGCTCTGTAGCTCACCCGGTAAAGCGCCTAATCTTACTGAGTTCCCGGAAAAGCGAAACAGTACAAAATAAACGATCCCAGCGAGCGAACTAACCTGTGGCGAGTCCACCAGTCTTTGCAGCCTCCTCTTCTTGTTAGTGAGCGAATAAAATGAGACACCATGGACAGTAAGCGTCCTACGTGTCGTATGTGGTTGATCTCACATGCGGAAATCTGCTTACTCCACTTGGCAAGCACCGAGTAGAGGGACATCAGGGTAACGATTTTGAAATCAAATGCAAAATTCTAGCCTACGAAAACGACATCGGTGCTAGAAAAATGTTAGAGGCGTTTTATATCCGCGTGAAAAATCCAAGACTGAACAACCGTAATGAATGCATGGCCATTACCAATGAATTCTTGCCTTTCATTCCTTTATGTGGACTGTGAGATCACCACATACGACACGTAGGACGCTTACTGTCCATGGTGTCTCATTTTATTCGCTCACTAACAAGAAGAGGAGGCTGCAAAGACTGGTGGACTCGCCACAGGTTAGTTCGCTCGCTGGGATCGTTTATTTTGTACTGTTTCGCTTTTCCGGGAACTCAGTAAGATTAGGCGCTTTACCGGGTGAGCTACAGAGCTAGGACTTCGAACCAGTTTCAGGTCCTGAAGACGACGAATTGTCGAAACGTTGACCAATAAACGTGTTCCACCATAACAACCTGTATGGGCACAGAAGAAACAACACAATTTTATTTTCGTCTGAAAGTCAACAGCAACGGTATACCTTAGGTTTCACCTCCGCACAGAGGTGCACTAGCAAATTCAATGAGTACGACCTGAGTGAACCGCAGAATCCACAAAAGGAGTGAATACTTCTACCGGAAGAATCGAGGAATGGAAACGTTTCAAAAATATCAAGAGGACATGGGATATGATCACACTCGGCATATGATGAGCTATTATGGGTGGCGTGTAAGAACCATCAAAACTACGGTGGATCGTGACACTGTTCGCATCATATTTACGCGTTGGAGCCCGTATAGTTTTTTCGAAATATTGTCCAGTGGTGAAGTGTCTGCTTACTGTTGGAACAGGGTGTTTCTAGATAGTGTTCCCGAGCCATGTGCTTTCCTTCTTCCAGGAAGGGAACGGAAAGCCTTTGAAATTTTCTTGTCCTTGCGACCAGTACTGCCCTAAGAAAGGGCCTTTTTATAAAGTATTTATAGTATCAAGTGTTATGTAGAAGCCAAAAGGTGTCGAAGGCGAGGGAACTTACCCAAGAAAGAAACAAGATTCGAGTTTTTTCGGTCCCTTCCCTTTGGGAGACATGATGGCAATAAACCCAGAGAGTCTACTGCGAACATTCGCTCCGATTCGTACCGTATGCAACTAGACAAAAATGTCACATTGTCACTCGTTGACCTATTTATCGTATTATGGTGTTCAGGCCCTTGTAATAATAGTAACTTCATTTGGTTTGTTATTGTGGATGGCATTACTTATGGCGTACGGTAATAGAATCCCAGAATTTGCAATTTCTACTGTTCAAGACCTCCTTCCAAATGCGGACATTTATGGGTACTGGTGAGTCTATGCTCGATGTTTATCAAAGGTTCACTGGGGTATGGGTTCCTACGGCAGGAAGCGACTTTTCGCTTTTCGTAGCGCAAACTTACTTCGTGGCAAAGCCCCAGGACCACCCATATTTGATTAACCAAAGTTCGGCACGCTGCGAACAAGTCGCCTGTCTGTCCCAGTTCTGAAACCAGCGATTCGCAAAGTCTGGCACCGGCCTTAGCGACTTACACTCATGTTTTATACGGTAGGGAACCGAGGGTAGTAGAACATTCGTCTGTGAACATGTGGCGATAGGACCGCCCACTTTAACCAACAGACACAAGCTGTTCAAGCAATATCTAGCTCAACAGTTGCGATCAACGACAGCAATGAATAGTGTAGTGCAGTATCGATGAACCCAGTGCCAGGTCTAACGAAAGAACTAAGCCGCAGCAAACTTGTTACGATTTAAAGGAGGAATTCACGATTAGAATGAAGGTCGAAGAAAGGGAAACTGACCTAGTTGAGGGACCCACGGACCTCCTGAGGGTGCGAACTGACGCGCAATTCGCATGGAAAAATTTGACCTCGGCGACCTATCATGCCTCAAAGCTGGCGGGTCCGGCGATCTCCGCCCACCGATCATCTGATCACTCGCCGTAGTTCAATACGTGGCGAGTGATTAGATAGCTGAGAGAGCGTAGTGTTGAAGAGGGCACAGCGATGAGAGTCGCATCAATGCTCGAATCAACGGGCAAGGAAGGGGTACCATTTCTCGGGTTCTGGGCCGTTTCTCATGGTTCTTCCTTCTTTCGTGTACCACTCACCATCCCTAGGTTAATTTGAAATGGGTTGCTTTTTCATCGTGAATTCGTCCTTTAAATGAATCACGAAACCACTAGTGAACAACACGGTACAGTTACAGTCACTGACAACATTCAAGCAAAGGGATGAAGGGGGCGCCGCTTGAGCAGCAAAACCCTGCTCACACAGTACTCGATTAGACACTTGTGACACCACTAGGTAATGGTGTGGTGTCACCTTGGGAAATACAAATCTAACATGCATCCCAAGCTAAACAAGTCGAACTACCCCATTATGAATCCTACACTCAGGGTCAACCGTTACGTTGGACCGATATTGGAGCGACGTTGGACCGATGTTCACCGCTCTCCGCGCCGGCATTCACTCTCGCCACCCGCGAGCCGTCTGTGTCTCCGTGCGTACGTTCACTCTCGGCATTACTCTCGTCGTCGCGTTGGACTTTGTCCAACGGACGGTTGACCCTGCCTACACTTGCTAGTTTCTACAATAAATAAGTGTTTCAATTGAAACACTTAGCATTATCATAATTGCGCTAAAACGTAAAGCAAATTGTGATGATGGATCACCATTTGGTTCACAAAATATGCCACTTACCCTGTACAAACTCCCTAAAGCTGCCACAGACGTTATTATTAAAAACATCTTGCAGATTCGACGCTGAGAATCATATGTATAGCAGTTCTTGTTGCCATAGTCATAGTGTAATGACCTATATTTATCTGGTTCGTTGTTCAGACCTTCGATTAAATAAACAGAGACCATAGGAACGCTGCTCTTACAGTCATTACACTTTACAGGTCTTTTTCGATTACTACGTGTTCTTGAAAGAACGTGAAGAAGCATTCTTGAACGACAGTCAAAACTCTGACCAATACTCACCAATACCAGCTCAGGAAAAGTAGTACAAATCAAAATTTAGGTCCATTCTATTATGTGTAAATATGCTGAAACGCAAACGAACTATAAACTTTTCATTCGACCGCAACTGTTGACAAGAATTACGCGCGAACCCTGTACAAACTTATGAAAGTATTCAATCCACGTTATACATGGTAATTAGTTATAATATTATGTAAAATTACTTGTACAATTTCCTAAAATCTCACCGGTACAAAACGATTAACGTATTCTATGCAAAATTCGAAAGACACTGGTAACAATTTAATCTTCGCGATACCTTATGTCGTAATCGCCATAGTCGGGAGTACTTTTACGCGAAATGTCACCACGTACGTAGTCGTCATCTGAGTCGTCTTCTTCACCTTCGTATACACCCATTTCGAAGCCCTCAAGACGACGTCGCATGCGTTCCAGTGCAAACGGGACCGTCATTGTTCATTATTTGGGTTTCTAACGGACCTAAACCTGGTTCGGCATTCGGTAAAATCGCCCTATTGACACGTCTTGCCGCCTCCACGAAACACTGCCGGGGGCTGCGGGGCAATCCCGTAATAATAATGGTACTATCTTAGTGATCCTAGAGTACGACAAATCATCGAGAAATTGAAAAGTTACGCGAAGTCTGTACTACAGACATAATTTCGTTAAAAATAAGGTTCTGAGCTGTCAGAGTTATACATTAGAAACGATATGGACAACCCATGTATTCAGATAGGGGAGAACTTCGCGATTGCAATCGCGATTAGGGCGGTGCAGTTTCGTGGAGGGCAGCGATGCAGTCATATGTATGAGTAACGACCCGCCCCAATCGCAGTTCTGGCAGATTAACAATCTTATTCTTCAAGTTTTATCAAAAGCGACAGCGAAACACAGAGTGGGATCCTGGCGCAATACTAAAATTATAGTATACTGAAAAATAGGGAGATATCATAACAATGGGCTTCTGCTTTGAATAATTGCCGAAAGCGCCCCATACCATGGAGAAGACATTTTAGATGAGGTGCAGTTGACGATTGAAAAGAAATGATTCCATGCTCACCATGAAATTGAAATTCAACAAATAGAAAACACTTTCTAAGGATAATAATATGAACTTGGGGCATTCGAGTATTTAATATTCAACGCAGCATCCTGAAATCAAATATAAAGGGTCAAACGTACCATTCTATCGTCTTCATCATAGTAGTTCAAATCCTCATCTTCGGTGTCATCGTCTTCGTCATCGTCCTCTTCTTCGGATATAATCATTTCGCCAGTTGTTCTCGTCATTTGAGTCGTCATCGTCGTCTGCTGCACAATCACTCTCAGAATCGGAATTTCCAAGAAGTAATGTTTGCTCTTCCCTGGAAATAACAAAAGCACTTGAATAGTAAAACGAAAAGCTGGAGTAGCCAGAGGGATTTCACCGTACCACCTTTAGAGAGAAGAATATAAAACTCACTCAGTAGCGAATCTCAGCTCGATATCGGAATCCCACTGTTTTATTGGCTCTGTCATCGATCCCCGATATATTTTGTAATAGTCATATCTTACAGCTTTCATTTTCCTCGACGTTACTATCGCTCTGAAATCTCTCATAAGTCAACGATTCGATGGAGCAGCATTCACTCGGCGGCTAAAGGAACCCGCAAGTCTTTATGCCTTTTTAAAACTTGGCAACCACTCAGACAAAAAGGCAATAAGGAGCTTAACACATCCACACTCCTGATCACTCTCTACTCTGCAATAACGTCAACGTGACCACATTCCAGTTAAGTTATTACCCTAATTTCCGGTGTATAAGCCCGCGCCGATTTCACGTAAAACCACCCCCGCTCGTGCAGTGTAACTTTGTACACCTTAGAAACCACCGCAAATTTGCCTATAGAGGTAAGTCGATGCCCTGATCACGAAAATGACTTTCATTTTCAGCGCTGGCGCCATCTGGCGCCAGTTGGCGCCACCTTGTCACGACCCTTGTTTTCGTCAAAATCGGTGTAAACTTCAGTATAGGGGTTATTTGGGACCCTGATTACGAATATGACATTCATTATAGGCGCTGGCGCTGTTTGACGCCTATTTTCTGCTCGTCTGCGCTCTCCAACCGAGACATGTGCACTAAACAACGTTAACGCCAAAAACGAATGTCATATTCGTAATCAGGGTCCCAAATAACCCCTATACTGAAGTTTACACCGATTTTGGCGAAAACAAGGGTCGTGACAAGGTGGCGCCAACTGGCGCCAGATGCCGCCACCGCTAAAAACGAATGTCGTTTTCGTGATCAGCATATCGAATTACCCCTATGGGCATGTTACGGTTGACTCTAGATGTACTCAAGTACACTGCACCAGTGGAGGTGTTTTTACATGATACTAGCGGGGGCTTATACACCGGAAAATAGGGTAATTTAAACCACAATATCTTCAGCAACCAAAAGAATATTAAACTGTAAGGAATGTCAGCTAATGGTATGGTGACTTCCTCATATGAAATTTAGAGATTCAAAAGGGTATGATGCTGGTACCCATGAGTCACAGATAAATAAAGGAAGGCTTCTCAGAAAAGAGAAGTTCTTTCTCTATCGAACTACTATACTCGGTGAAAGCCAGAAATTTTACAAACTGAACGTCACACTGCACTTTAAGCCAGCATCATTTTCAGATTACTGGAAGCTTTCGAAAACTAGCCTTCGATTTTTGGGTGCAGTGCAGTACCACAGAATACAAAGCACATCAAACACCTTCACAGAGAAAACTTGAACAGGGAATTAAATGACAACAAAACGTGAACATACCATAGAAACGTCAGCTGGGCCACTTGAACCATCACTGTGCTCACCAATGAATTCAAGGCCTTTGCCTTCAGCTTCACCTGAAAGACACAAGATGTGAGCAAACAATGGCACTTACTAAACATGAGACTATGAACGCAAAATCGAAGGAACTTCGTATAATGTATGCTATACGAAGTTAAACTCGTAAAGCAGATCCTGAACATCCAGCCTTGAATTCTATCACTCGCGCACCAGTTATTCCGTCCAGAGATTCGCCAACGGTCTCAGTTTTGAATAGAGAAAACAGTAGAGGATCCTCCCTGAAAGAAGGTCACTTTCTGTTAAGAAGACGTAATTCAATCGCTTCCTTCGTTATGATTTGGGGAGACTTCTTTATTTAGGAACACAGGTACAATACATACAGGAACATAGGCATTTCAGAAAAACTGTGAATGAAATCACTGGTGAAAAACAATGAATTGCTGGTAAATATGGTTGGTGATAAGAGATAGCCCATAAAAAGCGAGTTATCTCATAGGAGCTACAGAATAGTTCGTGAAAAAAGGGGAGAGTGACATGAGTAAGCAAAACCTTTCAAGAGCGCCATAATCTTTTATGCAACAAATCTCATAACTCAGTTCATTGGTTTTCAGCAATAGCGTCTACCACCCCGTAAATGAGACGATGTGATTGTAAACTTGTGGGATATTCTTTCTGTGGAGCCGTAGATCTCGCATTATCATAGCCTCGGTATCGTATGCTTGTGACAACATTCTCCAACTTTTATAAAAGACACCCAGTAGGGCACACCCTCGGCTATTCCACAAAATTTTAGCGCTCTAAAGTGAGGTATTGGGAGCTACGACTAAGAGTAAGGGAACCAAATCAGTGTTGAAGCATCAATGTTTCGTGATGTCATAAGAGTGATAACACCCTTCTTTATTACCACGTATGTGATAACACCCTTCTTTATTACCATGTATACTACATTATGGTGAAAACCCGCCCGAATTTCGATAATGGCAACAAATTAACTCGATTATAAGGTGTTCAGCTGCGTTGAAGCGCTACAAGGTGGTTTTCTGACTGAAATCACTCAGTTTCATGAACTACAAACTGATGTGTCGATATATCGGTTAGAAAGAACGTACATCGGTGAGTGTGTTGGCCTATCTGCGGTTTACAGGCTACTTGAACTTTCTTCTATGGTACTGCCACGAAAGGTTAGGGCACAGACGATTAGAGCGCCACCTGCCTCGGCTGAAAATCCCAAGGAGAAGGTGAGAGCCACGGTAAGTCTTGGAGAGGGGAGGTCCAGGGGAAGCCAATTGAAGTGTGCCAAAAGTTTGAATGTGTGAGATCATACTAGTCATGAGCCGCTGTTGAGCTGCAAACGCAGGCGGGAGCATCAAATAGAAGCGGTTTAAAGGAGCGACTTCAAGTAGTCCGCTAACGAGTGCCGTATTCTGCTTTTGGGTCTTGCAGTTTCATATATAGCGTTGCACGGTAGTGACAACAGCACAATTACTGTAAATACCCGCTGAGCACATTCGTGGCAATCCCAGATGGTGCTACGTTCGCTGCTGGAGGGCAGAGGAGAACAGGTTAGAAATTAACTGCCACCAAATCTAATGTCCAAATGGGTGTAGGGGTAACAACCTGAGTGTAACCCGAATTCTTGATTGCGATACCTTATCGCCTTCCCCCTATTACCCACTACGACGGGAGACGCCTTTTTGTGCATACTCATCCGCTCCACGAGATGTTGACCTCAGAACCGGAAGAGCACAAAGCGGAATACGCGAATCATAAGCAGAGAAGAGGAGCTCCCGGCAGAAGAGTATGACATCAGAGCACAAAAACCTTGGTGATGCTATAAATAAAACAAAAAGTGTACCTTCCGCTTTTTGGTTTCCATTATAAGGGCTGCATGAGGATCCGCAGACCGCTTGCGGCGTACACGGATAATTGGCATAATATCTGTCATGGTTCCTGAAAAAGTAAATAAGTGAGAATAGCCGGAACAACAAAAACGACCGAATTTAGAAACGAATAAGA